ATTCTAGTCTAAAATTGTTCCAAAAAGTTAAAAAGCCCCACAAGCCTTTCCACATGAAGTAGATAGGGTCCAAATTCCTGACATCTACCCTCTAATGAATACACAGCCTGAAGCGCATAATATTGGGAAAAGGTTATTTTCAAACCTGGAGAAGGGACTCATCCATTCTACTTTTGCACTTGCAAACAAAAGTTTCCTATTAAACAAAAGTTTCCTATTAATCTTGACAATTCGTTACTACATAAGTGACCAAAAATCAGTAAGGCAACAATAAACTTCTACAGCTGTTCTCCAGGACATACAGTTTCACTACAGCAATTTATTTTGTCTTATCCAAAGTATGAAGCACACTAGGCATTTAAGCAACATAGACAGATGAGACCTAAGCCGTATGTTTACGAAGACTAAGAAGAAATGTTATACTGCGTATTTGGCTACGTTACTGAGCAGTGAAGCCCAACAGGGAGATCTGCAGGGCAAAATGGGTGCCACAGGACAGGAGCGACACCCATTCCATACGCATTTCAGGGAGTTTTAGTTTGGATTAGCTCTGCCTGGTCCCATGGGCCAAATGCCCGTGAGCGCTCGGCTGACTGCACCCTCCAATTCAATCTCATCCACGAGGAACCCAGCGCGTGGGCTTGAGGCTGCGCCAAGATGAACAGAAGTACACGATGGCAAGTGACCACCAGAGTTGCTCTCAAAACACTCTCCCGATTCCAACACATCAAAGCCAACATACCCTTATGGCAGTTTGTAACCAGGTTGCCAGACACTGCTTGGAAAATCTGATCACAAAAAGCTTATTTCTCTTCAGACTGTTTTTATATATAAATCTTGATCAAATCCTGAAGCTATTCTTCAACATTGTTAACCTAAGACCAGTTGTACAGTCATCAGTGTTTTGTCCTATACGAATTAAGCGATCACAAAATAGTGATAGATGTGCTGTTCAGAGGCTACATCTAGAGTTCAGCTTCAACACAGCACTGTGCTTTGCCAGCAAAAGCAACAGGCTTACCTGGTTAGTGCCTGAGTTTAGAGCAGTGCTTAACTTTCTTTGTGGGGGTTTTTGGTTTTTTTTTTTTGGTTTTTTTTTTGTTTTTTTTTTAAAGAGATGGCCTTTGAAAATATTCTTCAGAAAAAAAGTAATCTGTGGACATATCATCGCTATGTCTGGTGAAGACCTCACACCAAGTCATAGGCCAGGCTAACAAGACTTTATCAGATGGCAGCTTTCTCTCCTCTCTCAGCACCTCAGAACCAGACTCAAGAATAAGCATTTAATTAGGTAGATGAGGACGAATAGAAGGAGCCATAGTGCATAATAAAATTGGTATTTTAACCTGATATTTAATTATATTAAGCGAAACTTGACATAGGCTAAGGCACCAAAAGTAAGGAAAGTAGGCTTTCAAAGTATAGGAAGAGACACAAATTAAATATATTTTGAAAGAGAAAATAAAAACTCAAGGCCTAAACTGACATATTTCCGTTTCTACCACACTAGAAAAAATTTTAAGTGAACTGAACAGCTTTATCTTCTCCACCAGCAAAAACTCAATACAACATCAACTACAGGATCTTTCATTTGTTCAGGAAGGAATATAACAAGGTGTATGAAATAGTGTGGTAACTGCTTAGACAAGTGTGTACACAGCTATAACAACTCATCATCCAGTGCAGTTTACTGTTGCTTAAAGCAAACAGCAGATGTTTCAAAAACAGAAGCAAAATTTATACAGCCCATAGGTAAGTGGAAAGGGCTATAGGTTAGCCGTTTCTCAGTCACTCAGATTTATGAAAGCTGATTTGATGATACAAAGATCCTTGTATTTTCCTTCCTATATCATGAAAAAACAAACCCTTAATTTTCTCCACAAACAAGGATTTATTTATTTTTAGAACTCAGAGTATCAGTGTCTGCAGAGAAACAAGCTGCCTATCTGCAGAGAAAGAGACAAGTATATAAAAGAATAGAAGAGATTTAAATTATTTACTGCAATAGGCTAGAAAGAATGCTATAAATAAATCTAAAATGGTATTCACTAGCTGTTCATTCCATACACCAAGCTATGATGTGGTCACTTTGCAGGGGGAAAAACCATCCCCCCAAGATGTACAGGGTACTCTGTTTCACTCTCACTTCTTCCCTTTTTATTTCCTCTGACAAATTCTTCCCCTGTCTTCAAAACTCAAAAGCTAACAGTATTTAGCCCCACCACTGTTGCAGATCAAGTATATGCCATTTACTACAACTCATCTAAGGCAAAGTAAACATGTAAGTTAATTTGCTTGTCTGAGTCCTAAGTCTGCTGTTGTTAGTGTGGTCATTCAGAAACACTGAACTGACAGGTATGTTTTAAAATCATCTTTTCACAACCACATTAAAAAAAAAAGAAAAAGAGAAAAAGAAAAAAGCAGAACAACATTGGCTGGTCTCAGGTCATTGACAGCTGAATAAAGCTCAAGATGAGACATGCTTTTGTTTCCCCCTTTCACCAGCAATTAGACATCAAGCACTGCTTCAGCTGTTTGCCACGTGAGCCAGAGATGCAGTATTTGCATAGTTTACCGGCAGCAATGGACTTGTAAAATTTGTTTTCTAGCTGCAGGAGAATAAGTATGAAAAATCACGTTGACAGCTGAATTATCACAAGTCCAGCTGTGACACAACAAAGTTCATATCCTTAAAATTTCTGATTAAGCTTCAGACTTTCCCTCATGAAATTAGGATGATGCCCAGAAGTACTCCCATCTAACCAGAGGTGAGAAAATATAGTCTTCAGATAAAAAAAAAACCCCACAAACCAAAAACCCAGCACAACACCAAACCCACAAGCAATCCATGAGAATCTTACAATAAAGGGTTATGAAGAATATAGTTTTTTCACTCTAAATCCCCCTATTTCACTGCCACTGTTACAGAAATAATTACTAAGTGATGATGAGAGATGACAATAACTTTGCTCATTAAGCAGAAAAGACTGCTAAGTTTCCTCTTTTAGAATTAGTGCGAATTTTTCTTAATAAAAGCAGGGATCAACTTCTAGACACTGACAATAAAAGTTTTTCAACCCAGCAATTCAGGAATAGCATTCTTCTTGTGATTTCTTGTTTTAGTTATCAGGCAATATTTGAATATATTTTAAGTACCAAGCGCAACACCAACATCTACATGACTATGTTGAAGGGGATTTTAGGTCTTGACAAAAAGTCTGAAAAATAGGAACCACCCTGAAATTTATTTATTTTTTCAAAAGAGCACTGAAAATTATTTTTAAATGTATTAAACTCAATTCAAGTGCTGTAAACGCACATTAATGTAATCAAAACCTAAGGTTAAAATAGTTTTCCATATTAAGATCTACATTAGTGGATGATTCACCAAGAATGTACAAGTAGTGAAAAACTTGTTTAGTAGAACCCAAGGATGTGTGTGTGTATATATCTATATAAACATACAACGCCCCTTTATCTGTACGTTCCAAAAACAAGCAAAAAAAAGGTGGCCTCAACTGCTTCTCATTATCACATGCTGTGTACCTTAACATAATGTTATCCAACATTTTTTCCTGTAGAGAAACACTTATGTTTGGAGGGGGTCTTATTTACATTTATCCTATCAATTTTGCCTCACCACACAATAGTTGCACCCAATGTACAACTACATTCAGAAGCCACCTAGTGCAAGTTTGACAAAGCAACTTTGAAATGAAACATTTTAAGATTTGAAATTGGAGAAACATGAAAGTTACATTGACAGCTATTATGTCTCCAATGAAGTATGACAAACTTGTTTAATTTTTTTATATTCCTGCAGTTTTAAGAGCTGTTCAGCAACTGTAGTAAAACTATGGAGTCCCAAACTGATGCATCCACCCATTTTAACACTTCCTATTCACTATTTCAACTACTACACCTTCACAGATCAAAATCCCAGCTAATCTCAACCAAATTAACTCCAGCCTTGTCTGGTTTTTAGTGGTGTTTTGTTTTTTGGGGTTTTTTTTTGTTTGGTTTTGTTTTTTAACTACTTAAATGCATATCTACATCAGGACAATTAATATAAAATTTGCCACTTCACTGCACGTCTATTGGTACGGTTTTTATTCTGATGCTACTTGACTAGGTCAATAATGCAGCCCCTTCTTGCCACAGTTGGCCTTACCAACTCTTCAATAAAAGCCACTTGTGCTTTTTGTAACTAGAACCATACATTGTGATAACTAGAAAGTGAAGTAAGTTTACACTAACCTAACAAATATACAGTCTTATTGTTATTTAGGCTAATATAAATAAAAAAATTAGCTGATTAGCATATCACAATATACTGATAAACTGGCTGGTTTTAATCTATAGATTTTTAACACTACTCATATTTAAAGGGGTAGAAATTAAGGAACTGCAACATCCTGCTTTTAGTCACTAAACACTGGAGGCTTTTTTTATCACTGCCTCCTCAACAGGAGTAATGATTCCTGGCCAGCTGTATAAGAAATATCTTGTTCCATTTCTTAAGTCACACACACTTCAAGAAAAGTGTTTATAGAAAACCTATATTACAGACAGTGAAAACATACTCCATTCTTTTGTAATACAAGCTGATGAAAGAAAGATGCTTCTGATGTACTGAAAGCTTACATGAACAGCAGTCAAGAAAAAAATAATCCAATAGGCAGCATGTGTGTATTTCTTTCCTCATGACATCTTAAAATGTCCTGACCTAAAATATACAGTTTTGTTTTGGATTTCATGGTTTTGATTATCAGATATTTAGATTTCATGCAACTTCAAAAGGCCAACAATGAGGAAACCAAGGGTCAGGGTGCACACAGAGAAGTTACACTGGAAGTTAGTGCTGGCCTGTTAGCTCCTTTGTGGCAGCTAACCAATGGTACATTCCTATCCATTATAGCAATGTAAATACAGGTAGCTTTCTGAAATACATACCAAAATTAGGCTAATCTCTCTTACATGTCCCATGACAAAGATATACAGGCTACAGCCAGAATAGTGACAGGGTATCATCAGATTGCAATCTCTTAATATAATTTACTTGAATTCCATACAAAGTGAAACTGAACCATGAGAGGTGAAATCTGAGAAGCCAAGAATTTGTAGCAAGACCACTATACACTTTTGTCTGACACAACTGCTAAAGTTTCTATTCAACATCTTTAATGGTCAAAGACACCATATCACCAACTCTTAACCAAGAAGCGAGACATGACATATTAACATCAGAGATTATTTAGCGGGTCCTTCTTTTAATTCTTAAAAGCCACACTTGATCAAAAAGCAGAAAAAAGCCTTTAAAAAAGGCTAAATTATTTTAGGAAGAATCTTCCCTTTAATTTCAATTCTAATCTCAGCTACATTAGAGCCTGTAAATTACACAAAAAACAGCTCAAGGCATGAATAAACTGTAGCAGGAAAAAAGCTGATGGAAAACCTCAAGTCTCTTTTACCTACCTGTCCTTGCTGCAATGAGGTGTGTTGCTTTGTCAGGATCATCAGCACTCAGTACTAAATTCTTCACAATTTTAGCTCCAAGTGCTGTGGCATGATAGTGTTCCCGTGTTTTCTCAATGGGGAAGTTTGTTGGGTAGAGTCCACTAAATATTATGGTTACATCTGCCAACACTTTACTTTTCAGTTCTGGTACTATTTTTCTGATGTCTGGAATTTCCTCAATCTCTTTTTTCAGGTATTTATCATACTTTGTGTAATAATCAGTGTGAACCCGCACAAGGATTTCTTCGAGGTATATTAAATGGTCATCATCATCAGTATCATCCTCCTCCTCTTCTTCTTCCATGCTCTGGTCTAAGGACTCACCCATTGTAATTCCAGACTGTTCACTATTCTGAGACTCTGTTTCAGCTTCTTTCTTGTCTGCACACCCATTTCCTAAATCACAAAGGCTTTCCTGTTCACTTTCTTCTTGTGCTTCAAGATCAGTTTTGTCATGAATATTTGCACTAGGTAGAGATTGCGTGTCCCCAGAATGGTTCACCAGATCATCCTTTTTCTCACTCACATCAGTGCAACTCCCTTTCTGCAAATTTTCATCCAGCAGAGGTTGTTCGGATTTCTTCCAGCTTCTCTTTTCCTCATTCTCACTATCTGATACAGAAGCAGATGACTTTCTGGTATCCAATCCACCGTCACTTTCACTGTCACTAGACAGTTCAAAGTCCAAGTCATTTGTTGTCTTGCCTGGGGTTTGCTGCTTCTCCAATACTGTTCTATCAACTTGTTCTGAAAAAGTCTGAGATTCTTTTGTATTTGTCAAATCATTCGTGACCTCACTGTCCATTTTGTGATCAGTGCTATCGTTTAAAGAGTCCTGGGCATTAACTTTATCACACGAGTTCATATCCCAGTCAGATATTTCACTGCTTACAGAAGTACTTCCATTTGCAGTACAAGTGTCTGTTGTAGCTTTCTTGAGACCATTGCTTTGTTCTTCTACACATGTAACATTCTTTATTTCTTCAGCATCTTTTGCTGATGTCACGGCTGAATCCAGTGCCTCTGGTTTTGTAGAGTGGTTTACTATGACACAGGAAAGAAAGAAATAAAAAACATGTATATTTTCTCAGTTTGTTATTTTGTGGGTTTTTTTTTTTTAAACCTTAATCAAAACTTATTTTTCTTTTTCCTTAAACACACACTTTACATATGCAGTTAGACTTCACTGTGTTTAGGAGTGACAACTAGGCTTTTCAAAGTTGTTAAGATACTTCACGTCTCAACAATTACTAGAAAGAACTGGCAAACGTAACAATCTACTTTTGTAAAGAAGCTGTGTAAGCAGCTTTTTCTTTAAAAAAAAAATCACACTGGTCATAGGTAATTATTTGTTAACTATGCAAACATTAAAAGCTTTATGTTGTAGCATGAATTTTATGATTTTATCTCAGGGCAATGAAACTACTGCAGAGAAGAAAAAAAAAAGGTAGAATTAACTTCACAAGGTCCTAATCCAGAACTAAAACTACAAGAACCTTCTCTATAAACTTCCATTGCTTTCACATATTTCCTATTTTTCATAACCAAAACAACTGTATTTTAATAGCTGAAAAGGTATGTATGTTTTAGAAATACAAAGACACTGTTTGAGGTTTATGGAATAAACTGATGGAATACAAGTAAAGGGTAATAGACTCAAAGGCAGAAAAATTGTTTTAGGACATGTCTTCAGATGTCTGCACAAGAAGAGGGAGACAAAGAAACTGTAGATATCCAGAAGTTTGCACACACACATTCATGAGGAATACTGGATGAAGACACCCCACTTTGTCTCTCTTTTGTGTACATGTCCCTGCCCTGCAAGTAACACCACCAGTCAAGTGTAGAGGTCCCATGTCATAGTGGCCTGATTTAGTTTGAATATATTATTACTCTTTCCATATTGGACATCTCTAGTTCAACAAGGGGAAAGAG